GTTCATTTTGACATTTTGCTTAAGAAGTTTGTGGGTTTGAATTTGTTTTTCAGTTCTTTCACATTTTAAAAATTCTTTTGAAGAATAGAAGTTTTTTTTTTACCCTGCATAATGAATTTGCAATTAAACCCAATCCCTAAAAAAATAATTTTTCAAACATTCTCATGACTTTCTGTACAATACATGCATTTGAAATGCATTTCAAACACATCCTTAATAATTCAGAAATACTTTCTCAGTTTTATCAACTTTCTTAGTCAAAGGTTTAATTGCTTTCTGACCTTTTTTAATTCAGTAATGTATATTTAAAAATGGAAGTCCTTTTCAGACCTGGACTATGAGCTTTTATTATTCGTAGCTTGGTATGAGATTGTGCAAAAGAATATATTATTACATTTTGAAATAAAATTGTAATATACATAGGCTAAAAAAGAACTGCAGGATCCCACATAAGCAGTCAAAGGGCTTATAAATATTTGAACACATTCTTTTTTTCTAAAATGATAACTTTCTACTATTACCAAACTCTAAATTAACAACAATTTATGTTCCAAACTTCTATGCTTGACAGACATCAGAAACACATTTTCAAACCGTACCATTATTATTCATTCCCTGTTAGTGGACAAAAACAAATGCTTCAGATTTTGAAAGACTCTTGAACATTTGTTGAATAATTCAACCACAGAAGTTTTTTATTTCTAAATCTCAAAATCTATTGCTTTATCAAAAAATATGAGTATTATATATTTGCAGCAATTTTAAGGCATTAATATCTACACAGTTCTATTTAATTACATTGGGTGTATGCCATTTAACAAAGACTTCACTGACTGCTAGTAGACCCCCTGAATGGGGATGAAAAGTCTTGAATTCATTTTGTATTGATACTTTCACTTTAATTGTAATCAAACCAGAAATTTGTGTAGTGAGTCACAAAGATGGTGGGTTTATTTTCACAGACATAATTTATACCAAGTCTATATTCACGTTTTGAAAATGACAACTTTTCTCCAGTTTTGAAAACAAAGATCAGGAACAACAAGGACAAAGAACAAGGACAGAAGACAGTCATGTCTTCTTCTGTTAGAAATAAATCTAATTACAGCCTCTAACACCAGATAATTTTAGTTTGGTGTTATCAGAGCTCTTTTAATTCTTTTTTTTTTTTTTTTTGGTATTCTTTTAAACCAGGTTCAGTTTGCTGTTCTTGTACATAATGATTTAAATGTTGGCAACATATTTTATCTGTTTTCTTCTATTGAGTTGAAACAGGTTTATTTGAACTTGCAATAATAGTAATCTTACCAACCAGAATGCCAATATTACAGGAGTATTCAAAGAGATTCCTTTCTAAATTTAAAGACTTCATCTGAGAATTCAGATAGAAGACACATCTTGCTAAAATGATCTTGTAGTGGATCTAATTTGCTTTGGTCCCTCTTTTGAGAAAAGGTACGAAGGTAAAGACAATGGTTTATCTGCACAGTTTAATCTTGTCTGTGCTTAGGATTAATTTGGAGTAAGAATGTCTCTAAATAAATTTAGTGCATTTTGGAAATAATTAAACTAAACATTAACAACAAAAAAGTACTATTATTTCAGAATTAAAGATTCAACACATGCAGTTATTCAGAAACAGTTCTGAATAGTTTCTGAACTTTCAATTTATATCTTACCTCAGTCTATGTCTATGACCATAGTTATATGTATCCAACCCTTACAGGAAATTAATCATGGGCTTAAAATTAGGGATGTGCAGAACTCTTACAAAATCAAGGATCATTTCTGCAGCTTTTTTTTTGGAACATATTAACAAAATTCATGGCTATTAAAACATTTCATATTCTTCTGTTCCAGCTGAAAATGACTGTATTCTGTCCACAGAATTACCACACAGTGAACAAGAGATCAAAGTGTTTTAAAAACAATAATGTTATATCTGACAATTACAGTTATTTTGTTTTGTTTCAGTAATTATAAAAAACTAAGACAGAGAAAACCAAAACCCAACTGTGTATTTTGCAGTAAAGAAAAAAATCCTGTAGTATTTTCCTTTGTCAGAGCAAATCATGTTTCTGAGACCCACTTTTCCTTTTCTCTCAAGAACCACTTGGTAGACAAACTAACAAGAGTGAAGTGAACGATGCTATAAATTACATCTAAACACAGCAAAAAAACTCTTTCACAATTAAACACTGATATTGTGCAATTATACCAGGATTAAAATATCACTGTTACAATTAATTTCTTCTTTTATTCCTTCCACTAGAATTATGGTTCATGCAAATAAATATAGTTCAGCCAAGATTTTATAGAACATTTTGCCTAGACACAATTCATTATTAAAATATTTTTTCATTTTCATGAATTTAAACAGTATTGAGTAAAATATATTTCTTTAAAAAATACTTATTTAATCAGATTTACAATTAAATATAATGAACTGCTGAAAATAAGCCATTAGATGCATGTTGGATATTTTGACTATTTGCATGTCCTTAAAACAAGGGATAAATGCAGACCTTACTTTATCTGCACCTTTAAATATTAGCTAGTGATGAACAATAATCTCACCCTTTTGTAGCAGTGGGCAGTCTCTAAGACTTTAGAAGCTATCTAATGTAACATTTGAACTAGAAAATTCCTATTTGCCTACTTCATCTGCTTAAACTGCACAATAATAAATGATGGTTGCATGCCAAATTAAACAACATCTTCAAGTAATTCTACTACTTTAGTACTGTTTTCTTGAGTGCCTGCCACAGAACTCAGTCTGGATTGATTTGTGACTAAATCAAATGCCATGGAATAAGGGAAATAAGGTTGGACCCTGCCATGTGCTAATGTAGGGATGGAATAGTCTGCTACTATACTGCCTTCTTGCATACACGCTGAAGTAGTGATAATTTGTTTAGAAGCAAAGAATTAAAAGCCATAGCAAAAGCAACTGTTGCATGAGATCTCAGTCCTATGTTGCACTAGCTACATGTCAATGTTTTACTGTGGTAGGTGGACACTAGGGAGACATTAGGTCTGCAAGACTGCAAATTGTGTTACAAAAAAATACGTGCTGGATCTTTGACTAGAGACACTGCTATTGTGACTGTCTTTGGGTAGTACGTTTTCAACAATTCACACAAGGAAACACTTTAGACATTCAGCTGTAGGTTTGTAGACAGCAAGTTAGCAAGATGTCATAGAATCATAGAATCATAAAATATCTCAAGTTGGAACGGACCATCGCGTCCAACTCTCTACTCCTCACACAACTATCTAAAACCAAATCATATGACTAAGACTGTTGTCCAGACACTCCTTGAACTCTGACAGGCTTGGTGCTTCCCTGAGGAGACTGTTCCAGTGACTGACCACTCTCTCAGTGAAGAACCTTTTCCTAATGTCCCGTCTGAACTTTCCATGACACTGCTTCATTCCATTTCCTCGTGCCCTAAGTCACCTAAGCACTCACTAGCATCATCTAGTGGAACACTAGTCCTTAGGATGGAGGTATATGTGTCAAACAGCAATTAAAATGAGGCAAATCTTTTGTACCTCTCAATCTGATTTTGAGAAATTAGGAAAATTAGGGAAATTATAGTGCCTCAAGATAAAAAATTCTGCAGATTTTTGCAGTTGCTTGGAAACCACCTTTGGGTCTTACCTGGTGGTGAAAGATTAGAGTGCAGACTTATGTTGTAAGCCTGTCAGTTTTAGTCCAGAAAGGGCATTTCTAAGGTTACGGAATCACAGAATCACAGTTGCACTGGAATGATCATGTGTAAAGTCTTGTGGGACAGATTCCTTTTGCTGCAAGAAGTTTTAATTGTTCCTTGTGCTGATTCAACACTGCTATGGACAACAAAATAGTAGCAAAAGTCTCTCTTCTATATTTCAATAAGCAAAAAAGCTACCTTAAAATCTACTTACTAACAAATTATATAGTACCACTTACCGCACTATAGGTCTAATCCTGTTGGCTTCATTAGGAGTAGAATCAACTATAAGATTGCAAAATCCCTCCTTTTTGTATTGAGTTCACATTGCTATACATTTAAAATTGGTATCATGTTCTTGACATGAACAATTTAAAACACTCTACAAATCTGACATATTTTGCTCATGCATATCATGTTCATTTTCTGTAACTATCATTGCTTCCAGCAAAATCTTACTCTAGTCCAATAAATAACACAAAACAATAAAATAATTCATGATAACAAAAATAATTAAATAGTAGGAGCAGGTTGAAGATCAGCATTCATTTTTCAAATTAAATTTAAAAGTCGGCGGTAGTTACTTAGAAGATTGGCAAGTTTTACAAATAACATCACCAAGCCTTTTAGAGAGAAACACAGCCGCATTAGAATGGAGTCATTAGGCAATACATTTATTTTGAAGCCAATTAACCTTTTGTCAGAGAAATGTCGGAGCTGTAATGGTTTCAGCAGTGGAGGTCAGCCTCTAACAGGGGCACGTCTGACAGCGATTATGCTGTCTGACATATGCTGTAGACTGAGAGTACAGCTGTGGAATGAGAATCTGCCTTCGTTTGTATTCTGCTCTGCATTTTCAGGGAGCAGGCAATCTTGACCTATCCATTTAGGTAATTAAAGCTTCTATTTGGAAGTGTCCTGCAGGAAGGTGAAATTTGGGGGAGATAAATGGCTGCTGCCCACTGTATCCAGCCACTTCCATCATTTGATGGACTGCCTGAAACAGGCTGCATTGCCAGGTCCTCATAAAAATAGAGATGAATTGGGCAGGAAACAATTCTCTAAGGCAAAGCAACTCTGTCATCTTCCTTTTTGCAGCATATAATTTAATAGTTAGCCAAGGTAGACAGCTGACTCAGGGGCCTTTCTCTAATGGCTTCCCCACCATCTTCCATTTTCTAAGAAATTATTTCAGTTTGTTTACTTATAAGCCAACTTTGTTTGACAATGAGAGATGTCACTTCAATAAGCTCAGCTGGCTGTTACAGCTGTGCCATGACTTACCTTCCAGTTGATTTTATTTCCTTTAGTATCATGCTCAAGGGCAATTGGGAAGTCTCCTCGCTCATAAAACTTGCGAAATGCTGTGGGCTTTGTTGGTCTTTCTTTAAATGCTCCTGCAAGTGGAGGCCCTCTTACCTTTAAAAAAACCAAAAGACAAAACAAAAAGAAAACAAAAAAACATAGTTCAGTAGTAATATACTTTTAGAAAAAGTCTAATTTATATGGCTCAAAATAGGAACAGATAAGAAAGAAGAATAACATTAATCTCCCAAATTATAGTTTGCTTTCTTCTTTACATGTTATACTTCACTTCTTTGAAAGTACACTTTGACAATGACCTACAGGTTTTGTTAACTGCCTTTTTTTTTTTTTTTATTACTACTTTCAGATTGTCCCATAAAAACTGTAGCTATCTCCATTACCACAGCATTTTTAAGCAAGAATAAAACACATTAGGTAGTAAAAGTTCTTGGAAAACTAAGCATTTCTCCTGGAGAAATATTTTTCTGTGTGTTTCTTTGAAGAAGTCATTTGACTTGGCTTCCATTGAATATAACTGTCCTCACTTTCCATTGTCTTTCTCTGGCCATTACCTAATTTCCTTCACTATATCCCTTCCTCAAATGCTATGGATCTGGATTTCATATGACTTCAAACCCTTCAGTATTGATGGCTGAAGAACTGGAAGAAATAAAAGAAATAAAGGAAAGTCGTCTCTCAGACCTCTCCTCTCTGCCTGTGTGGCCTTGGAGGAAGAAATTTGATTCAGGTCCACTTAGTTCCTTATCTGAATTATTGCTGGTCAGCATATTGCGTAGCCTGAGTCCCTGAATGACAGTCCAGTTCCAAAAAGCTCACACTGGAACCTTTCTCTCAGCCAAACATAGTAGTAACAGCAACTAACAATTGGCACTAAGATAAAAGAATTTCAAGCACTTATAAGAAATCTATTGTTTAAGCTAATTAACAAAGCTAATCTCAAATGCTAAAAGAGACTAAAAGAGCTAAACTAATCTCAAATGTCCTTGACAACTGATTCTTCCCTGAGAAACTCTTGTCTTTTATAGCCATACATCTGGGATAAGAACTTCCTACAATTCTCCGCATATCTCTGTTTTCAAAAATGCCTTTATGACTTGCTACCTTTTATAATGTGGAAAGTGTCATTTTCAAAAAAAGCTGAGAGCTTCAAGGATCATAAATCATACCCGGTATTTTGTATTGTTCTATTTGTCTATGTCTTCAGTGACCCCTACCTTAGCTTCTAGCAGTACAGACATTCAGCTTTCCAGTGAACAGAATGCAAACATGTCACCTCCTTTGCTCTGTTCGTGCTATTCTGTGATTTAACTGTGCTAACTACAGATCTAAATCTGACTTTGCACTTTTTTCCTCTAAAGTATTTTGACATCATTTACCACTGACTGAGGTAGAGGGGTCCACTAGCGATATGCCTACACTGTTCTTTACTACAAAATGCTTAAACTAGGGCTACTAAACTGTCACCTATTGTTGCATATTGCTGTCAGATAGACCATGTCTAGTGAAAATAGATTTGATATGCATAGCTGTAACGTTGCTTAGTAAACACATCTGCAGCAGTTGAGAGTGATACTCTAAGAAAAGCATTTCTAACCAATGTAAATAAATTTACACTTACTGTTCTGCACAGGAACAATTTGTTCTGTGCCACTAGTGTAAGTACTTTCACTTGTCTTTAATTTGTTTTTGCATTTCAGGCAAGTCTATGCGTCACTGCTCATTTGAGGCCACTAGAAAAGCATCTATGTTCTTTTTGTGTATTTTTCACACATAGGACCTTCACACATCCTTTAAAACATTATTTTCTGTAAAATATTAGTAGTCACCAGTCCATTAAATTTTTACTTAAATTATTGATAAAGAATATGTTGTCTCGATTACATGAAATAAAATCTTAATTATTTCCTGCAGACTATCATCATGCAATTCCAAACTGTATCCAACTGAAACCAAACATTTTTTTCTTCCCAACTCATGTTAGCAAATTTGCTATAAACTTTTTCCTACTGCACTTTTACAAATTTTCTAGAAAACATGTTTGTGTTAATTCAACTTCTGCCTATTCTTTATTCAAGAACAAAGAAACTAGAAGGACTAAAAGGACCTTGTTTATCAAATCAATTCCTCTATTTTTTCTCTAATATTCCTCTAATATATATATAAAATCTTTCAAAAATTGATTACAAAACTGTTTATTTTTCCCTTGCCTGCTGAAAGGCTTTTGTGCATTATCCTTACTTCAGCGGTTAGAAACCACGTCTTAAATAGCATGCCTACTCTGAGCTGCTACCTCAAAAAAAGATATGGTAGAATTAGAAAAGGTTCAGAGGAGGATACTGACTGAGGTTATGGAATGGCTTTCACAAGGAAAGAATAAACGGGGAAAATGATGGCTAAGGAGGAATAAAATAAAGATCTACAAAATCATGACTTCATGGAGAGGATGAAGAAGGACAGATTTTCCACCACCTCCTTCAGTAAAAGTACAGGCCATCAAAAAAATCTAGTAAGTGACAAGTTTGGAACAAACAGGAGTAGTTATGTATTCATGCAGCAAGTAGCAGATTTATAGAACTCCTTGCCAAAAGTCAGTGTTGGGCATCCTAAAAGTTTCTGTACATTCAAGCTGTGTCTGGAAAATCTGATGAAAGAGAAATCTATTCAGGTTTACTATATCCACATTATCAGTGATCGGAAATACAGTGAGTATTATCCTTTTTCACATGATACAGTCTGTTGGGTAGATCTCCTAACATTACATTTAGTCTCTCATGGTCACAGCACACTGGCATCTCACAGTTATCCTTTGATTAACTGCCAGAACAACTATCTTTTCCAGTTGATGAGCTCTATGTCAATAACAGAATTTCTTGTCATTAGTTTTAAGTGCATTATCTTGCACTTTGTACTATTATATTCAATTCCATTTCTATTATACCAGTTCTCAAGGGCTTCCACTTCCATCTAGGTGACACCATGACCTTCATCTGTTTTAATAACAAATCCAAACATTATGTCAGCTATAAATTTCATTATACAATCCTAATTTTTTTTGTCAAGGTCACTAATGAAAATATTAAATAAGGTTAGCCCTAAAACCACTTCTTAGAAAGTTCCATTAATAACTTTCATCTATTATATCTCTCATTTCAGCATTACATGTCATTATTGTCTACATTTCAATATGGAGTTTCTTACCTATCTCATACATCTCATAATTCTCATACTGTACAACCAGCAAAGTAGTGTGTATAACTAGAGAATTAACTTGAAAATAGTCTAGAGAGAGAACTGTTACTTTTCCCTCCATCTTAATGATGTTTTTCTTGTCAGTTTGATCTGTAATAAGCATAGAGACCTTTTAGATGCCAGGAAGAACAACTGACACCAAAGCAATGAAACAATCTAGACAGGAAGGAGCCTAAGATCTGCCTAGGACAAAGGAATATCACCAACCAGGAAGAGAGTGGAACTGTCCCTGCACTGAAGAAATGGTACCTTGCATGACTGAAGAGTACTGTTGCTCTGCTTTAAGTTTATTACATAGAGGCAACTTGTTCCTTTTGTTTGCATCTGGTAAAAGTAGATTACAAGCCATTAGCTAGAGTGGCTGCATTGAGCTAATACTGTTTACCTTTTGCAAATAGTTTCCTTTCCTTCTTATCTTTATTACTAGGGAGACCATCACTATCATATTTGGTATTCTGAACACTGTTCTCTTATGCAGACCTCTCTTTGCATCTTTCTGGCCATGTATCTTAACAGTCTGCCTGAAAAAAGTATATATGTATAATTTACTTTTTCACTTTTTATAACTCCTGATCTGTTTTGGTTTATGTATTTATTCCCCTACACTTAGATTTTTAGTAGCACTTTTTGAAACCAGAAATCTTTTTGCTTTTCTATTATTTGCAGACTATCACAATGCATGAATGCTAGTCACAGATTCAGATTAATTGCTATAAAAAAGTACTAAAAGAGCAACAATAAAATTCTGCAACAGAGAGAAGCTGTCTCAAAATCTTTAGGCCAGTCAAGTTCTCCAGAAAACAAAGTCAACTTTACCTCTTCTTTGTAATTCATACAGAAGATATGTTTCTCACAATAGAAAACTGTTGGAACTGTCTTTCCTAGCACCTGAATGACTGACCATTCTTAATACCTCTTTTGGTCATGCAGATTTAGCATTTCTCAATGTACCGCTCATTAGGACCTCCCTAGCTGCAATCTGACAGTTTCTGAAGACACACCTGGACCATAGTTTCAGGGAAAAACGTAGAAATTGGAGGGATAATACCTACTGATCCTGGTGACAGCTAAAATAATCTGATTTACAAAGCTGCTTACATAAACTATGCTTTTCAAAATCTTACAGAAATGTTACGGCTTGAACTTTTAGGGTAAAGCTAAGATGCTTTTACTGGTTTGTGGGCAGCTGGTCACAAAGGGAGTTCCTAGAGGTTGGTATTGGGTTTTATACTGTTCAACATCTCCATAAAGGATGGGGATGACAGAACTGCATGCTTGCTTAACAAGTTTGTGGATCATACCAAACTGGGAGGAGAGGTACTATACACCAGAAGGAATAGCCACCATGCAGAAAGGCCTTCACAAACTAGAAGACAGGGCCAACATGAATTGCATAAATGTAATGTCTTGCACATGAGAGAGAACAATCCTAAGCAGCAGTACAAGCTGGGTGGATGCTGACAAGCTGGGTTGTAGCTTTGCTTTCAGGACCTGAGGATTCTCGTGGACAACACTTAACTTGAGCAAGCAGTGCCTTTGTAGCAATGAGGGCAGAATGAGCCCTGGGTTGCATTGGTAAGGGTATAGTCAGCAGATCAATGGGTTCCACTCTACTTGACATTTGTTAGTACACAGCTGGAATATTGTGTCTAGTTCTGGTCCTCCCAGTTCATGACAAAAACTGAAAAAAAGGGACAGTGTCTAGCAGAGGACCATGAAGATCTTTAGAGTTCTGGAGATCTTGAAATTTCAAGAAACTGGATGAGTTCAGCCCACAGAAAAGAAGGCTCAATAGAGGAACTAATCACAGTTTTCTAATCCCTAAAAGATAGTTACAGAGAAGA